TTGTCATGTAATCACCAGTTAAAAGGTGAAAATCAGCTGGCAATGGGCCCAATGACTTCCTGAAAAACAAGCGGCAAAGGTTAGTGTAAGAATGCCCCTGTCTTCCATCACAGCACAGTGGGGGCCTGGCCAGGCCTGGATTCGTTAACCTTGGCAATTCACCTCCCCCATGTACCTCAGTTTCTTAGCTATAAAATATGGATAAAACCACATGGAGGGATCATGAGAGTGAAACAAAAATAGTGGTGCCAGGAGCTTGGTAAGAGCTCACTAAACCTGATCATTATCATTATAGTTCTACGTCGAAGATTCTATGGAACCAATAACCTCCTCAAGAGCTATTTGCTCCCATTTAATCTTTGAGTGAAAAGAGGAAGAGACCACAGAAAAGGAGTGATAAGGACTTAGCACAGGAGCAGTTCACAGGCAGAGGGAACAAGAGTAGAGTAGGAGGACAGGGAGGGGTCAGGAGCCAGAGAGCTACAGTATGTGAAGGGAGAAAGCTGAAGCCCTGGGGACGGGGAACATCCAGGGTATGTGAGGGTTGGGATCTGTGGGGGAATCTGAGGGGTGAGGGGTCTGTGGGAGACAAAGGCAGGATCTATGAGGGATGGGGGCAGAGTCTGTGGAGAAAAAAAGTTGGAGACTGTATGAGACCAGGTCTGGGGTCTGTGGGCTGTGGGGGCTTGGGTCTGTGGAGGCTGGAATATAGGATCTGTGGGGGTCGGAGTCTGGGGTCTGTGGACTGTGGGTACCAGGGTCTGGGGTCCATGCTCTGTGGGGCACAGGGCCTGGGGAGGCCAGGGTCTGTGGGCTGTGGGGGCCAGGGTCTTGGGTCTGTGGGACACGGGGTCTGGGGTCTGTGAGGGCCGAGATCTGGGGTCCGTGCTCTCTGGGGCACAGGGCCTGGGAAGTCCAGGGTCTGGGGTTGTGGGGGCTGGGGTCTTGGGTCTGTGGGGCACGGGTCTGGGGTCTGTGAGGGCTGGGGCTAGGGTCCGTGCTGTGGGGCATGGGGCTTTGGAGGTCGGGGTCTATGGGCAGTGGGGGCTGGGGTCTGAGGGGGTCGGGGTCTGAAGGGGTCGGGGTCTGGGGTCTGTAGGGAATAGGGTCTGGGGTCTATGGGGACCAGGGTTTGGGGTTGTGGGAGACGGGGTCTGTGGGAACCGGGTTCTAGCGTCTGGGGTCTGTGGGGACCGGGGTCTGTGGGAGCCGGGGTCTGGGGTCTGTGGGAACCGGGGTCTAGAGTCTGGGGTCTGTGGGAACTGGGTCTAGGGTCTGGGGTCTGGGGTCTGTGGGGACCGGGGTCTGTGGGAGCCAGGGTCTGAGGCTGTGGGAGCCGGGGCGTGCTGTTTCTGACACCCACAGTAGCTGTCCCGAGTCCAGGCCGCGTGAAGCCCGCACGTCCCCTCAGCTAAAACCCGCAGGGACTGCGCGCCAAGTGGGAGTTTGGAGGCTACTGGGGTCCCGCCCTAGGCGCCCAGTTACCAGAGCCGTTGGGGCCGATGATACAGGTAAACCTCTTGAAGGGGCCGATGATCTGGTGGCCCCGCCATGATTTGAAATTCTCCACGAGCAGCACCTCAAGGTGGCCCATGACAGCGCCTCCGTGCCTCTGCAGCTCCTCACACCGAGGCCGCAAAAGCGCGGGAAGCAACTCGCGCCTTATCGCGAGAAGAGAGCCGGGAGGTTGGCGAGAGCGCCGCTGTTCCTTAGCAACCGGAATAGTTGACGTCTGGAGGGAGCCGGGCTCAGCGCCCTTGGCGACGTCGGGCGAAGCTGGACTGCAAGGCTGGGACGCAGACTCGATTCCCAGCCGCCCAACCTCCTAGGGCTTCAGCTTTTTTACTTTTGTTAGCTTTTTAACTTGCACGTCCTAAAAACCCCTTGGAATTTCTTGGCGACTCCTAGCGTCATGGAGGTCGCGTTACCCAAGGACCTGGCGCAAGATGTTGGCCTGGCCAAGAGGAGGCAGATGGAGTTGTGCAGGCAGAAACGGATCTTCAACGCCAGAAACAGGATCATCGGGGTGAGGCCCTCAAAGGGAAAGGCTAGGAGGGAAGGTGGAGGGGGCGGACGGCGGGAGAGAAAAGAAGATGTCCTGTTGGAGTGAAAACTTTAATGTTTTTGATGCAAGCGAGCCGCACGGGTGGGGTATGTACGTGTGATAGGTCCATGTATTGAATTTGCAGAGGATGGGCAGGACTTTAGCCGACCAGACAGTGCAACCCTCTCCCTTGCCACATGACAGACAAAGTGAGTCCCAGGGCACGGAGGGGGCTTGCTTGGAGTTAGTGACTAGCCTGGGATTAGAATGCGGTTCTCCGCCCCATGAGCCATGTTTCCTACAACACCACCGGGTTCCATCCAGTCCATTCATTTAACATACGCACGTGCGTACCCACTTTGTGGCAGTGCCTCGGGAGATGAGGGATAGGCAGTTCCTAGAAGAGTCCCTGCTGATGCAAAGGCTTAATGAGCTCGCTGCTAACAGAAAGGTGCCAGTCCATTCAGAGATGCGCCCAAAGAAAGGCCTGGCTATCTACTTCCGAAAAAATCAGTCCCTGAAAACGCTAGGGAGCACAGTTTTACTCTGACACATGTGAGGTCTCCAGGAGTTGGAATTGACTGACGGGAACTTGTTATTTTTTTTCCTTAAAGAGCTCATGGAAGATGCAAACATGAAAACAGACACATTAAAATGCTATGGGGGAGGGAAGCTCAAGGAACACAGCCTGGGTTGGGAAGGGAAGCCACAGAAGGCTTCCTGGAGGAGGTGATGCCTAAGCAGCCATTATGAGGATGAGTATCTGTTAACCAAGAGAAAAAGGGAAGAAAACTCCGGGGACAATACAGGGTGAAGAACCAACAATAAGTAGCATCCAGGCATGACAAGGCCTGGTGTGCTCTTAGACAAGTCATTTATGGTGGCCAAGGCTGCAGGATAAGTAGGATTGTTATCAACTGAACAAAGTATCTGGCTCTAACCCCTCTCCCCTTGTTTTCTGTTCCCAGGGAGACCCAGGAGCCTGGGATGTCCAGGTTCATGACCAGAAGATAAAAGAAGCAACTGAAAAAGCTAGACATGAAACCTTTGGTGAGCATTTTCTGCATGCCTGTCGTGGGGTGGCTAGGAGTTGGAATTGACTGGATGGCAGTGGGTTGGTTTTTTTTTTTTCCCCCGGTATCTAGGGACTTAGGGCTGTGTGACAGTCAACTTCTGCCCTCATTTCTTCATATATGTAAAAAGTTGTCATTTGCATGCTCCTCTTCCTTTCAAAATTTAATTATTTCTTGGGCCCAGTTAACTTGATGAACAAATTCTGCCTCTCTTAAAAGAATAACAGCCATATGAATTTTCATGTGGGTTGAAGGGAATATATTTTAAGGGTAGATGCACGATTTCCTGTTTTCTTAAAAAAAAAAAAAAAGGAAGTTGACATGAAAAATCTTAAAATGCACACATGTGTGTGTATTCTCTGCCAGGACCTTCCCTGGAAGTCAGCTGAATACGACAAAATCTCCAGGGTCTGTGCCGGATGACACACACTCACACTCACACTCACACTGTAGAGCTGACTCAGGGATGGAAATGATTCACGTAAATGTTCTTGCTCTTCAATGGAATCCCTGCAGTGTATGAACCGAACATGTTGGGCTGCTAACCAAAAGTTGGAGGTTCAAGTCTCCCCAAAAGTGCCTAGGAAGAAAGACCTGGTGATCACAGTTCTACTCAGACATGCATGCCCATGGTTGCCATGAGTTGTATTCAACAACATGGCAGCTCATTTTCTTTCTTCCTTTTCCTTTTTTTTTTTTGGTCTTAGACTAAATGTTCACTTTCCCTCATCAAATCCAATGATTTAAACTTTTTTTTTTTAAAAAAAGGATTTTTTGAAATAGGTAAAAAGGAATACTATATTATATCTGGGAGCTCTGGTGACATAGTGCCTAAGGCATTTGACTGCTAACCAGAAGACTGTCAGTTCAAACCCACCATCCACTCCTCAGAAGGAAGACTGGGCAATCTACTTCTGTAGAGATACTGCCATGGAAATCCAAGGAGGGGTTGCTGTAAGTTGAATCGACTCAGTGGCAGTGAGTTTGGGGTTTTGTTTTGTTTTTTTGGTTTACAGTTCTCAATTGTTTTGTTTTGTTTTTTAAATACACAGAATAAAAGAGTGTACCAAAATATTTATTACCAGGTGCCATTGAGTTGATTCTAACTCATTGTGACCCTACAGGACAGAGTAGCACTGTCCCATACGGTTTCCAAGGTGTAATCTTTACAGGAGGAGATCACCAGGCCTTTTCTCCCATGAAGCTGCTGAGTGGGTTTGAACGTCCGATCTTTAGGTTAGTAGGCAAGTGTTTAACCATTGCACTACCAGGGCTCCTTACCAAAATATTAACAGTGGTAATTTAAGGGTGATAGAATTATGAGTGAAGTTTATTTTCTTCTATATAATTTTCTATATGTTTTAAGTGTTTTACCCTGTTTTTAGTTATAAAAATTTGAATTTAGAAAAATATGTGTGATGACACATATATACCTATCACCAGGCTAGATGTAACATTTTTCCAAATTGACTTCGGATATTGTTCTGGTTACCTACTGCCACCCTGACAAGAATGTACCATAAATGGGATGGCCTTAACAAATAGGAGTTTATTCTCTTACAGTTTGGAGGCTTTAAGTGTGGATCAAAGTGCCAGGCTCTAGGGGCTGGGTGAAAGCCCCTCAGCCTTGGGCTTCAGCTCTGCCTCCTGCTCTCAGCCCAGTGAAGCTGGGGGCTTTTCTTCACTCAGGCAGCTGCTGGCTGCTGAGACTGACAAGCCCAAGGTTGACAAGTAAAAAGGCATAGTCCCAATGTTACCAAACCACACGGCAGGCCATTCACTCAAGTCCACTGAAAGTCCCAAGGTCAGCAGAGCATGGCAGGCTACTGAACGATGACATGACTACATGGAGGGTTCAACCATGCCATAAGCTACAGACTATCCACAGGCTTTTCTTAATATACTGGAAGCAGACCACATCCCTAAGGCAGCTACTCAGCTGCTCACAGTAGATTCCACCATGGAGTGATT